CTTCCAGGAGGGAGCGTGCAGTTGGCAAACAAACACAGAAGGCCTGCTTTATTTGCATAAAAACATGGTACTATGTATCAGTCAGCATCCAGTTAGGGAACAAAAAAATCACACCAGCAATCTGAATAGAAAAAATTTAATATAAAGAATTGTTATCTAGTAAAAGTATTAACTAGCAAAACTTCTAGAAGAGTAAAAGAGGACTCTAAGGAATAAAAAGGAGCCCTGGTGGTGCAACGGTTCAGTGCTCAGCTGCTAACCAAAAGGTTGGCAGTTCAAACCCACCAGCAGATCTGCAGGAGAAAAGACCTGACAATCTGCTCCTGTAAAGATTACAGCCTAGGAAACCCTATGCGGCAGTTCTACTCTATCCTATAGGGTTGCTATGAGTCAGAATCAACTCCAACAAAATGGAATGAAGGAATAGTAAATGCAAGCAACAGCTCTTACCTCTAAGGCTGAGGGAGATTACCCAAAGAAGGAACTAAGAACTTGGAAGGGACCCCACCCTCAAGGATGTGATTCAAACCTCACTGGACACAGTGTGGCTGCAGCCCATCGGATGGTGAAGAAGTTCCCTAAGATGCCAGCCAGCTGGATGCCCCCCTGATGGGTGCCATAGAAATTCACTGTTTGCTGCTGGCAGTCACTCTGTAGGAAGAAAAAAAGGCACACTGGAACTGGAAGAAGAGTCCTTCCCCTGATGCACCTTGCAGTGTCTCTCTAGCACCCTCTATTGATAAATTCTAACATTGCACCAGCTGGCAAGGAGAAACCTTTACAAGGTCCCGTATCACAAAGTAGGCAAAAAAGGATTTGGAGTTGAGAGGCAATAGATTAATAGATCTACTCTGTGCCAGGCCCTGTGTTACTCCTTTCCCTCATGAATTCCATATAATCTCAGCCATAATTCTTTGAAATAGATATTAGCGTTTCCATTTTAATGCTGGGGAAACCCTAAAGACTAAAAGTTAAGCAAGGCTGGTCTTTAAACTGCTGTGTGTGGCTCTAGATTCTGTGTTTCTACACCAAGAGAGCAATGCCTCTCTCTGTAAAGGGTAAAGGACAGTAAGGTCTTGTTCTCTCCATCCCCTGACTTCTCCTGTATTAAGTCACAGAAACTTCCCTGGCATTGGATCTTTACTCCTTGGAGAGACAGACAGTAGGACAGATTCCCTGTGGGTACTCTAAGGTGGCAATTCCCAAACGACAATCACTGGGGGAGTTTGGCGAAAATAGAGGTTCCCAGGCTCACCTCCAGAGATTCCAATTTAGTAGATTTGGGGGGCATTAACAAACTGCCTAGAAGTCTCTGATGTACCCCAAGGGCACAGAGTCAATCTCCACTGGACTAGAAGTGGAGAGTAAGGAGCTGCCCAGCCTTCAATGGAATGGGGAAGGACATCATGTTAACAAGCTCCTCTCAGCCTGCTACCCTATGGAAAGATCAGTATTTCCAAAATGAAAATCAAATAGGGCACATGGATCTGCTTTATGGGTAATTAAGTTGTAATGGTTCTTAAAAAGACAAAATTGATTCCCATTTGTCAGGTAGGGAAATTTGGAGGCCGGGGCTCCAGGACCCCCTAGCCTCTTGCCTGGCAGCCCCTTAAGGCATATTTTTGGACTAGTGGCACTTAAGATTAGAGCATATCAGGGTGTTATAGATTGAATTGTGTCCCCAAAACGTGTGCCAACTTGGATAGGCCATGATTTCCAGTATTGTTTGATTGTCCATCATTTTGTCATCTGATGTGATTTTCCTATGTGTTGTAAATCCTACCTCTATGATGTTAATGAGGCAGGATTAGAGGCAGTTATGTTAATGAGTTAGGACTCAATCTACAAGATTAGATTGTATTTTGAGTCAATTTCTTTTGAGATATAAAAGAGAGAAGCAAGCAGAAAGACAGAGGGACCTCATCTCACCAAGAAAGTAGTGCCAGGAGCAGATCATGTTCTTTAGACCTGGGGTCCCTGTGCTGAGAAGCTTCTAGACGGAAGAAAAATTGATGACAAGGACCTTCCTTCAGAGCTGACAGAGAGAAAGCCTTCCCCTGGAGCTGGTGCCATGGATTCGGACTTCTAACCTACTAGACTGTGAGAGAATAAACTTCTGTTTGTTAAAGCCATCCACTTGTGATGTTTCTGTTATAGCAGCACTAGATAACTAAGACACAGGGTAATCCCATTTGGCCCAGGAATAAGAGCTACCAGCTTTTGCATACCTACCATGCACCTACATTATCTCCAATCCTTAAACCCTCTTGCAAGTTTTAACAGTCCTATCTGTCAGATAGGGAACACTGGTGGTTTGGTGTAGAACTCTCGGCTTCCGTGCGGGAGACCTGGGTTCGATTCCTGGCCAATGCACCTCATGCACAGTTACCACCCATCTGTCAGTAGAGGCTTGGGTGTTGCTATGATGCTGATCAGGTTTAAGCAGAGCTTCCAAATTAAGACAGATTAGAAAAAAAGGCCTGGCGATCTACTTCCAAAAATCAGCCAATGAAAACCCTAGGATCACAACGGTCCTATCCATAACTATCACGAACATGGTACAAGACCAGGCTGTATTTCATTCCATTGTACATGGGGTTACCATGAGTCAGGGGCTGACTCGATGGCAGCTAACAAAAACAACACATCTGTCAGATGAGGAAACCGACATCTTACCCAAGACCACACAGATACAAGGGGCAGAATTGAAATTCAGCTGTGGCTGGTCATGCTCCAAAGCTGTGCTCGTGCTCCCACACGGCCTTGGGAAAGGGAAGCCGCTCCTGGCTCAGGGCTCTGACAAGAGGGGAGCCAAGCTCCCCCCAAGAGTGGCTGGCTAGGCCAGGAAGAGCTGACCCAGCACAGCCTGCCAGGAGCCAGAACTCGGAGCAGGCTCCAGAACTGCCCCTGTGGGGAGAAGGGGATGCGGAGCCCAGGCCATGGGCCACCCAGATACCTGGAGATGAGAGTGACAGAGATTGGAGGGAAGCCTGGGATCGTGCCTTTTTACAGGACTGTAATGCAGTCCACTAGAAGTTGTGGCCCCATCAATGTTACAATATCTGATCCAGTCTCCTGAGTCACTGCAGGAAGGGCCACCTGTAAATTATACCCAGAAAGGGGGAAAATTCAGAAATGCTCCAAGTGCCAGCCTGTTTAAGCCGATAAAAGGATGAGAACTGCTTAAACTGTTCCCTGTCACACTGCCCAAATGGTGCAAAATGCAAGAAAACTCAGTTAGTGTTGGGGGTCCTAGGCCTTGTGAATACAAAGAAAAAGCTAGCACAGGCGCATCTGTGAGCCCACAGGACCATGAGCTCCTCAGAGGCAATAGCTCCACTTTGGCCATGTGTATCTCCAGTGGCCAGCACATGCCATGTGGCCTGGGACAGAGTCAGGTAGATGGAGGTTCTGATTCCTGCCACCTGCGGGCTGTGAGCCTCGGCCCTAACCCATCTGTCTTAGTTACCTCGTGCTACTGTAACACAAATACCACAAGTAGTGGCTTTAGAGAACATAAATTTATTTCCTTACAGTTCTGGAAGCCAAGAGTTGAAATCGGTCTCAGCCATGTCTGTTTCTTCCTTGCCAATAGCCCTGGGTGTTCCTTGGTTCCTTGACTTGCAGATGGTCCTCACGTGGCCTCTGACCCCTACCCGATGTGTGTCTCTGTGTCTATTCTGGTCTTTTTATAACTCAGAAGTGATGAGGTTTAGGATCCACCCTACACTGTTAGGACCTCGTTACCATAACAAAAGAAAAACCCTATTTCCCAAAAAGATCACAATCACAGGTACAAGGACCAGGGATTCAACACGTGTTTGGGGGAGGGCACAATTCAACCCATAACAACGTCTGAGCCTAAGTTTCCCCCTCTGTGAAATGGCATCTAAAAATACTGCCTCTTGTATCCCTTCGGGAGCAAGGGAGAATGAAGAGAACAGGATACAAGGAAAAGATTAGTCTGAAGGACTAACTGTCCACAGCTACCAAGGCCTCCACCGGCCTGAGTCCAGTACAGCTAGATGGTGCCCAGCTACCACCACTGACTGCTCTGACCAGGATCACAGCAGAGGGTTCTGGAACGAGCTGGAGAAGGATGTAGAGCATAATTCTAACTCACAAATAAAAAGACCAGATTTACTGGCCTAAAGGAGACTGGAGAAACCCCGAGAGTATGGCCCCCAGACACCCTTTTAGCTCAGTGGTGAAGTTACCTCCGAGGTTCACCATTCAGCCTGGGAATGGACCGCCCCGTAAAACCAAATGAGACTAATGAGGTACAGGAGTCCAGTGACAAGGGCCAGAAAGCAGAAGGGGACAAGGAAGCTGATGATAGGGAACCCAAGGTTGAGTAAGGATCTTGTTGATGTGTTGTGAGATTGTTAACCATTGTCATAGGGCAACATTTGTAGTAACTGTTAAATGTGAAACTATTTTGTTCTGTAAGCCTTCATCTTAAGTGAGAATAACAGCACAATTCGAAGAGCATAGTCAGTGTCACTGAACTGTGCATGTAGAAATTTTTGAAATGGCGTATCTTTGGCTATGTGTATTTTCACCAAAAAAAAAATAAAGAGTTTGAGAAGTTAGAGGGTTGATATGTTGTGGGGTTTGTTAACCAATGTCATAAAACAACATATGTACTTCTGTTTCATGAGAAACTATTTGTTCTGTAAGCCTTCACCTTAAGTACAATAAAAAGATAAAAAATAAAATACAATAAAATAAAAATACTGCCTCTTGGAGATGTGAGGGTTAAATAACATAATGTGGGCAAAGGGTCTAGCCCAGTCTCTGGCACAGAGTTGGGTCCACCATAGCTGAACATGGCAGGGTTGGGGAGAGACTGCCCTGTGAGCATGGCACAGACCTGTGAGGACCCTGATAGCCAAACAGGTGTGTGCTTATCTCCATCCTTGCGTCTGCTCCAACAGGAAACCCTCTGTTGTGAGGGGACAGGTGCATGCTCATGTCCATCCCTGCCCTCTCTCCAACAGGGAGCCCTGCGTGGTGTGGGGACAGGTGTGTGCTCATTCCCATCCCTGCCTCCTCTCCAAAGGGAGCCCTGTGTGCTGTGGGGACAGGTGTAAGAACTGAGGACCAGACTGCCTCAAAGAACCTTGTTAATAATCAGGAGATAGGACAGCAAATTTGGCCCAAAACAAACAAACAAAAAACTCCATTGCTATTAGGTTGATTCTGGCTCATGGTGACCCCATGTGTGTCAGAGTAGAACTGTGCTCCATAGGATTTCAGAGGTGTAGATCACCAGCCCTTTCTCTCTGGGTGGACTTGAACTTCCATCCTTTCAATTAGCAGTTGAGCATGTTGACTGTTTGTACCACCCAGGGACTTTTAAATTCAGGCCAGGCTTAGAATTTGGAAGATGAGCTTCTCTCTCCCTCTCTACCAGACAAACCTTATCACAGCCAACAGAAGGATAAATCTGGCCAGGTCACTCAAAAGTCCTTGCTTGCTCCCCAGTGACTGCACCTGGCACCACAACACTGCCCTCCACTCTCACAACCCTACACACCTTCTGTGTACTGACCAGTGGAATAGGCAGAGAACAGGCCGGTGTCAGGAAGCCTGCATTTTAGGTCCAAATTTGTAGCGAGCTGTGTGACCTTAGGAAAATCTCTCCCTATCTCTGTGCCTTTGCTTCCCCAGACCAGACTCCTTCCTTCCTTCTTTCACTGCATACATTACTACTGAGTGCTTACTATGAGCTGGACGATCCTAAAAGATCCTTCTAACTGTGATAATATATTTTTTTACGTGATGTAGTTTAATGCACTAGGAGATATTTTTAGGAACATACAGGAAAAGAATTGAGATGAAAATAAAAATGTCTCCTTAATCACAGTACCTGGAGATGTGTGTTTCCTCCCAGGCTTTGACTTTTCAATCTACATTTCTGTAAACTCTGTGAATGGAGTGCTTCTTTGGAAAGTGCTTTGATAGCTTGAAGAATGCAGGGCCGTTATCCCTGCCCTCTGTCTGTCCAGGGCTGACCAATCTCCAGTCTGCTTACAAAGGGGTGTCAGCATGAAGCTGGGACAAAAGTGGATGCTTCTTGGACTGCAACTCTGGATTTTCCTTAACTTTCCCCTCCACAGTCATACCTGTCCACGGTAATACCTATCCACGGTCATACCTGTCCACAGTCATACCTGTACACAGTCATACCTGTCCACAGTCATACCAGCTCTCCCTGCCGGACTCCCTCCAGCTCAGGCAAAGAGCCAGTAAGAGGATCCAGAGCTTTTCTGGGGGAGTTGCATATTGTGGAGGAACAAACATGAGCTTTAGCTCCAAACAGGCCTGGTTCCAACCCCAGCTCTGCCCTTTACCTGCCATGTTACCTGGGAAGTTACTTAACATTTCTTAACTTTGCTATCCAATATCTATTCAGTGGAGAGAATAAGTTTCTGCCTGTCAGGGTTGTTGTAAAGATTAAGTAAAATGATACAAGTGATGTTTCTGGCCACATGCTGTTATTGTGTTGTTGTGTGCCGTCAAGTTGATTCCAACTCATAGCAACCCCATGTGACAGAGTAGAACTGTCCCCATAGGGTTTCCTAGGCTGTAATCTTTATGGGAGCAGATCAACAGGTCTTTTCCTCCTGTGGAGCCGCTGAGTGGGTTCAAACTGCTGGCCTTTCAGTTAGCAGCCGAGCGTTTAACCATTGTACCACCAGGGCTCCTTGGCCACGTACCAGCAGCTCATAAATAACAGTACCACTTTATGTAATATGAGATACTAGCTAGCTCCTCCTTAAATGAGATAATCCCTGTAAAGTGTTGGGATGGTTGCCTGGGTAAGCACTCCACATTTTCCACCGCCGTCTTCAGTCGTTTTTATCTCTTTCCTGTGGCCTACAGGTGGCAGCACAGTGCCGTGGATCCAGAACCCTCGCCCTCCTCAGTCTGTCACCTCCGAGAAGGTGAGTGCTGGCTGGGCCTGGGGTGACAACAGTCACCCAGCTGTTTATTGCACTCTCACCATACTGCGTGGAGCACTTAACACAACGCCTCATGTTAATCCTTATAAGGGTCTTATGAGGGAGATGAGGTTACCGCCAACGTGCAGGGGAGGAACGGAGTTGGGGGTGCTCAGGTGGTAGGAACGGAGCGGAGCCAGGAATCAAACCCAGTCTCACCCGTGCCAGCCCAAGCACTCACCCACAGTGCCAAGCGGCCTCCTGGTGGCTTCCAGGTCCTCAGCTGCCAGAGATGGAGAGTGAAGCCCACGGAGGGGAGGGACTGGAGCCCAGGGCTCTGACTCCCGGGAACTGCTCTTCCCCCACAGACCCAGCCTTCGGGAGTGGCCCCTCAGCCAAGGCCCCCACCGCAGCGGTGAGGCTGCTGCCTGCACTCGGGAGAGGCTCTGAGAACCCCAATGTTTCATTGTCACTTTTTGCCTTATCCAGCAGGACCTTTTCCAATCCCCAAGTAATCTTAGCTGCCAGGAGCCAAAAGTGATCTGCAGAAAACGTCCTCCAATCCCCCCTCAGCTAAATCATCTCTTTTTACGGAATTCCTCTAGGCAATTGCATTTGCTACATAATGGCTTCCAATCCCCTCAGTCCCCAGACATTCCTGGGGAAGGCACGTGGGGGCGGGGGGTGCACACATGTGCGCCTGCTGGGGTTGGTCAGCCAGCAGGTCTGGGTAGGACCGCGCCTGTGACCACCAGCTTGTCTACTCAGCTTCTACCTTCTTCCTCGCTCCTACAAGTCTCACATTAAAGTAGACGTGGGGGGGCTTATGCCTGTGCCTGTCCTTCTCTGGATACAGGCTAGCCGGCCAGGAGCAGAGAAACCCCGCCCTCACCCCTCTCGGCACAGACTGGCTCCAGAGCAATGCTCTTGTTTGCAAATACAGAGTCTGAAGCCAGGGCCTCAATTTCCTTCCTTCTTACCAAACCCACTGCAGTCCAGTGGATTCCGACTCATAGCGACCCTATAGGACAGAGTAGAAATGCCCCATAAGGTTTCCAAGGAGCAGCTGGTGGATTCGAACTGCCGACCTTTTGGTTAGCAGTGGAGCTCTTAACCACTGTGCCACCAGGACACCCCCTCCTGTCTTAAGTGGGGATTAAAAATAGTCCTACCTCATACAGTTGATGGGAGAATTTATTGAGATAATATATTTTATGTGCTGCTTGAAGCAGTGACAAGCAATCAGTGTTAGCTATGGTTGGTCTGAAATATCTACCTGCCACCCCACCTTCATCTCAGTGATTACCACAGCCTTCCTCACCCACTCCCCCAGGTCTCCCACCTCTGCAGGTGTGGCACCCCGGAGGGACAGAGGCTGAGAGATACAATGGCTGGCAGCTCCTGGGCCCACAGAGCCCTTGAGGGCTTTGCAGGTCTGGGGCTGCTGTGAGAACTCACCTCCCAGCCCATCAACAATTCTGGCTGGGGAGAGACCCGAGGACCTGCAGCTCAGAGAAGGAGCAGTGTGAGTGGAGGAGAGATGCAAGGTGGGGCCTCGAGGAGGTTTGGGGCTCAATCTTTTGAGAGACAGGGGAGTAAGAGCCAGGGAGGCAGGTGGACTGGGGAGAGGCCGCCCCTGCATCCCAGGCAGAAATGGGCCTACCTTAGCCAGAACAGAGAGTGGTCACAGGCAGCAGGGAAGCTGCAGGCCCTTGGGGGCAGCAGGCAGGAGACAAAGGGGCCAGGCAGGCAGCTCTGTGAGCCTGAGCAAATTATTTAATCTTTGAGACATAACTACACTGTTTATTTATAACCCTCAAATCAGCAGGCCTCCCCTGCCCTGAAGAACAAGATAAGATCGGCTTAAACTCCCTGCGGAAAGTTCCATTCCCTCCCCAAGAGTTATGCTCTTGGGCTGACCTCCTGCCTCCCCTGAGCTCTCCATTTCTGCTCTGGTTCCACAGCTGTGCCCTTATCTTCTCCCAAGTGTTGGCCCAATCGTGGGATTCTATCTCCTTTCCCTATGCCCATGCTATACCAAAAAACAAGAACAAAACATAACTCACTCACTCTCTTCAGGATGACGGGTTCCAGGGCTTCATGCAGGTTGTGCCTTGCTTGGCCCAGTGCACAGAAGCACGCCCCTGGTCAGCAGGGAGTGCCCCTCCTTAGGAGGCATCAGCTCACTCTACAAGCTCAGGCTACATGGTGGAAGTTAACATCCTCCACGTCCTAGAGACTGACTGGAACCTAGGCCAGCATGCCCTGGCCACTCATGTTTTAGACAGAGAAGGTCATGGCTTCAAACTCCTCTGAAATGGTGTCTTAATGAGAGTTACTGAATTTTAGGCCTCTATCAGTCTAGAGGGGCCCTGGTGGTACAGTGGTTAAGAGCTCGGCTGCTAACCAAAAAGGATGACAGTTCGAATCCACCAGCTCCTTGGAAACCCTACAGGGTGGTTCTCCTCTGTACTACAGGGTTGCTATGAATCGAAATCGACTTGAAGGCAACAGGTTGGTTTGTTTGTTTGGTATCAGCCTAGAAATCCTCACCACTCAAATCACTGGATTTCCTCCCAGGCATTGAAAGGAAGACAGTAAGGGTCTTTATCTCTAATCAGCTATCACAAGTGATTCAAAAATACATTTCATTCGATCAATAATTTTCTAATTTTTTTAAATGTAATAGATTCAATTTGCTCACAACAAAACTTCATGCAGGAACCCCAAGACAGATAAAATGGGATAAAGACAACTGCTTGGCTGACTCTGGGGAGGCAGGGGGAATGAGAGTTCCCAATCCTGGGCTCAGCTCCCCTTTTCCCTGGATCTCTGAGACATCCGTTGCCGTTGAGTCAATTCCGACTCATAGAGACCCTATAGGACAGAGTAGAACTGCCCCATAGGGTTTCCAAGGAGTGGATTCAAACTGCCAACCTTTCGGTTAGCAGCTGAGCTCTTAACCACTGCGTCACCAGGGCTCCAGAGACTAGAAAAGGAAACAAAAATACCTCTTTAACCAGTGTAAGGACACTCAGTATCACTCTAAGTAAGATAAATGCAAATTAAAACAACGCTGAGAGACTATCTTTGCTCTATCTGATTGGCAGAGATCCAAAAAGTTTGCAATGTGCTTTTTTGGTAAAGGTGTAGGGAAACAGGCACTTTTATGCTTTGTAGGTGAGAGTCTAAATTGGTACAACAACTGTAGAGGGCAATTTGGCAATACAAATCACAGGTTGTCTGTCAGTTTGTTGTACTGTGGTGGCTTGCATGTTGCTATGATCCCAGATGGTATGCCACTGATATTTCAAATATCAGCAGGGTCACCCATGGTGGACAGGTTTCAGCAGAGCTTCCAGACTAAGAAGAACTAGGAAGAAAGGGCCTGGTAATCTACTTCCAAAAATCAGCCAATGAAACCCACATGTGTCACAACAGAGAATATTGTCTGATATAGTGCTGGAAGGTGAGCCCCCTAGGTTGGAAGGCACTCAAAATACATAGTGTCTGCAGCAATGAACTCAAGTATACCAAGAATCATGAAGATGGCGCAGGACTGGGCTGTTTTACATAAGGTCACCATGAGTCAGAGCCCACAAGGCGACTAAGAACAACAACATGATACACATATCCCTAGACCCAGAAACTGAAACATCAGGAATTTATGCTACAGATAATATCTGCACAAATGGGAAATGGCATTATAGTATTGTTTGTAATAGTAAAAGACAGTAAACAATCTAAATGCCCATCAGTGGGGAGTGGTTAAATAAATGGTATGCCCATACAATGAAATAGTCTGTAGTCATTAAAATGAGAAAACTCTTTTGCGTTGATCAGGAAAGACCTCCAAAATATACACTGCTGAGTGAAAAAACCAAGGCAACAGAACAATGTTCAAATGTGCTGCTATTTATATAAAAGGAAGTGGTGGTGGTGGTGGGGATAATACAGAAGTATTTCCTTCTAAGGGCATAAAATATTTTTGAAAGGATAACAATAAACTAGTAGCATTGGCTTCCCGTGGAGAGAATTAGGTGGTAGGAGAAAAGCGATGTGAGGGAGACTTTTTATTGTGTACACTTCTAAATTTTGAACCATGTGAAAATGTATCTTATTCAAAAACTTAAAATATGTATATGTATATAAACAAAGGGGATAAAAAGAAAACTGCTGCTTGAGATAAAAGCTGAGAAGTATATTAGTCTCCTGCTTTAACTATACATAGAGTGATTTTTACCCTCAGAGAATCCAAAAAGCCAAAATGCAAATTCCATTTTTAAAGATTACCTAATATTGTTCAATAAATTAAGCTTCTACAGTTTTAAATTCAAACGGCTATAGGCTTTCTGGCTTCTGCTTAAGATGTAGAAAGCTGGAAAGAGCATTGCTCTCACTTTTATCAAAAACAAAGGTCAAATAATCCACAACTTTTCTTGAACTCAGCAGAAAACTGAGGTTGTGGGGCAATAAACTGCCAAAATCTAAGGAAAAACAGAGGCCTCCAAGGGGAGGTGGGACACAAGCACTTGCTTGTCTGGTATAGATTTTGGACACCATACAAGTTGGAAAGAAGAATTCAGTCAAGTCTTTTAACAAATTCCTAAAGACCAAGGATGGACCTGCATGAGAGTGTAGACCCCTTGGGAACTACAGACATAAGGGAAATTCGCACCCACTTGCATTCTCTTCCCCACAGATCACACTGGATGCTCACAAGAAAGATTGAGAGGGAAGGTAAATACCTGAGGAAATCTCTCTCTTGGTTCAGGTCTGAGGGAAGAGAAAAGCAATCGCTGCAAAAAATAGCTCGAAGCCCTAGATCCTTCTCCCTATATCCCCCATGCAATAAATAGACAAACTGCTAGGAAAAGGGCAGAAAATTTTGTTGTTTTTAGGGTACAAGTGAAGATCCATTGCAGCTAGGAAAAGGGAAGAGACATTACCCTCAACTGCTGTTAAGGGGCAAAAATACATCCAGGGCCCAGACCAGTTTTTCTATTGTTAGGGGAGAGACAGGATCACTGAAATGCCCCCCACACCCCAAAACCCAGGGATACAGCCTAAGACTGAAGCTGAACCAGAACAGCAGAGGGTGACCCCTGCCCCAGCCCTGATGCTCACCTCTAGGTTACAAAGTGTACAGTAACAAGTAATAGTAGTCTAATGCTGGGGGAGGATCAACAGCATAGACAGAAATATTCTCTAAGGTGTAGGCACAAAAGGAAGCTCTAAAGCTGAGAGTAGAATAGACATTAAGAAACCCCCTCTGACAAAACAACTGTCATCCTAAACACAAGGTAATACTAAAGAAATGTGAAGCCTGTGATACACTAAGGGTAACCATAGCAAAAAAAAAAAAAAAAAAAACCCAAACACAGTTCAGTTCCTGAGTAGATGGCTTATAACAGAGTTCAGTCTAAAGAAAAAGCATACCCATTTCCAGCCATAAATACTATTTGTATCAGTGTCTACTGTTCTACACAAGATGTCCAACTTTCAACAAAAAATTATAAAGCACACAAAGAAAAAAATACACTATCAAGAGACCAAGTAATCAACAGAATTAGACTCAAACATGAGACAAATGTTGGAATTATTAGACAAGGAATTTAATATGACTATGACTAATATGTTAAAGGCTTTAGAAAAAGTGGACAACATGTATGGTTAGGAGGGTAATTTCAGCAAAGAGATGGAAACTATAAGAAAAACTCAAATGGAAATGTCAGAAGTGAGAACAGAGATGTAGAATGCCATTGAAGAACTCATCAGTGGACTTGATGCAGCTGAGGAAAGAAACAGTGAACTTGAGAACAGATCAATAGTAATCACCCAAACTAAAACACAAATAGAAAAACAGAGAATTGAAGAGCTGTGGGACAATATCAGTCTAACATATGTGGAAATGAAATCCCAGAAGGCAAAGAGAGAGAGAATAGGGAAAAAGCAACGTTTGAAAAGATAATGTCTGAAAATTTTCCAAAATTAATTGTAGACATCAAACCACAGGTCCAACAATGTCAGAGAACAAAAAGCAGAATAAAGAAGAAGAAGAAAAAGGAGAGAGAGAGAAGAAAGAAGGAGAGGAGGAAGAGGAGAAAGGGAAGGAAGGGTAAAAGGAAGGAAGAAGAGAAAAGGAGAGAAGAAGGGGAAGGAAAAAGAGTGGAAAAGGGTCTGTGTGTGTGGGGGGGGGGGGGACCTAAACATACAATATCTGAACTGCTGAAAACCAAAAACAGAGAAAATCTTGGAGTTTTTAGCCAGAGAAAAATGACACATTACATTCAGAGGAACAAAAATAAGAACCAACAGATATCTTGTTAGAAACCATGCAAGCCATAAGAGGATGGACGCCGTCTGTAACCTACAGAAAGCATCTACAAAAAAACCTGCAGCTAACATCATACTTAGTCATG